CGCCGGGCCGCCAGGCGGCGCTGCCCGAGCCCGGGCAGCTGGCGCGCAGGCCGCCGCTCTCCACCGAGCTGCGCGGCGTCCAGGACTACATCGACATGCGCAAGGAGCGCATCGTCTACCTCTTCCTGGAGCACTGGCGCAAGTGGGCCTTCCGCGGCCCCGGGCGCCGCGCCCCGGCGCGCCTGCGCAGACTGCTGCCCCGCGTGGTGGCCGCTGGCGCTCGCCTCCGCCGGGAGGCCGCTGACGTCCCCCAGCCGCCGGCCGACGACGGCCTAGACGAGCGGCTGTTGCGCCTACTGAAACAGCGGCAGGTGGTGGGCAAGCTGCTGGGCCGCTGGCGGAGCCTGCTGCGGCAGGTGCCGGCGCGCCAGCCACCCGGCCTGGGCCTGGCGCACGGCCTGTACTGGCCTGAGCAATTCCTGCCGCCCTTCGACGGCGGCGCGCCCCCACGCTACGACAGCCTCACGCTCGATCTCTTCATGCTCGGCTACTTCCAGCTGCTCGAGATGGGCCTGAGCCGCGAGGAGCGCAAGTTCCGCCACCTGCTGTGTTACGAGATGTTCGACCGGTTGGGCAGCCACCCGTGGGAGCTCATCCGCCTCTTCCACCGCGTGGTGCTCGAGGAGGTGGAGGCCGGCCGGCGCCGCTGGAGCGACGGCTTCGAGGACCTCAGGCGCCGGTTCTTCGGAGACAGCCCGGAGGCTGAGCCGGCCCGGGAGGTAAAGGCCCAGAAGGAGTTAGAGGAGGGGAAAGAAAAAGAGGAGGAGGAGAGGGAGCCGGTCCAAGAGGCCGCTCCAGCTCAAACGGAGGACTGGCCAGAGGGGCAGCCCGAGGCCTCCGCCCCTGCGCTGCAGTCCTCACCAGCGCCAGCTGCGCCTCCCCCGACGTCGGACGCTTCAAGTTCTGAAGCCCCCGCAGAAGAACCCCTGGAGCTGGTGTCTGAGATGGGCGAGTTCAGCAACGAGGAAATCTGCCGCTACATCGACCGCAGCTTCTCCTTCTGGAAAGAGAAGGAGGCAGAGCTTTTTGACATCTGAGCAGAATTCGGAATTTACCCCAAAGCATCTTAACCCGGGCCTGGATACCTGTAGGATGCTCTCTGGAGGCCAGAAGCAGGCGGGAAGAACCCAGGATGGGTGGCCTCAGAAAACCCAGCGTGCCCAGGACCAGGCTGCCTCAGCCTTTGAGGTCCCATCATGGCCTGATGTGGGGTGTTGGCTGGGATAGGCGGGGCATGGCACAGGGCAAAACAGATGTTCCCCTTTGGCCCTACAGCCTTGCCTGCCTCTGCGTGGACCCAGGTGGAAGAAGCAGCCCGTCTGAATGAGGGACTGTGGGTCCCTCTTGGGGCAGTGTGGCTCTCTCTCTCTCTCTGGTTTTTCACTGGAATTCACAGCTACCTCTTTGGCTGAAGTCAAGGGAGCCACGTGTGCAGTGTTCCGTGTGACGTGTACAGACCCTTTCTCCTCTTTTAACAACCAAGTAATAAAACACTTTGCTGTAAGCTGCCTGTGTTGGATGCCCCCCCACCCCAGCTCATTGCAGCCCCACAATTGACCTGGTGTCTACTCCATTTGGGAATAGGACAGGTATAGGCCAGAAGATCCTTCACAGAGGAGCCAGGGGGCAGCCTGAGTCTCTCCTAGCTGGCAGGATCTGTGGGAGCCCAAGTATCCGTGTCTGCCCAGAGATTCTGGGTCATGAGCCTGGAGCCATCTGCCCACCTGCCCCTGTGGGGAATCTTATTCCCTGCTCTCCTCCTACACCCAGCTCTGACCTCTTAGGCATTACCTCTAGGACACAGAGGCCTGAGTTATGGCACCTTCATCCATTTGCCCTATAGAAGGGTATCAAAAGTGTCTCTTCCTGCGTCCTCATCTGTGTCCCGTTGTCCCAGACTTGAGCAGGTTCCCAGGGTTGGGGGTGCACCCCCTCCACCCCCCTACCTCCCAGCCCATGCTGACCCTGAAGCTTTGTGCTTGTGTTTCAGGAGGAGGAGGAGGAGGCCCGGCTGGCCAGCATGCCTGCCTGGAGGCGGGACATCCTTCGGAAGAAGCTAGAAGAGGAGAGGTGAGCTGGGGGTCTGGAAGATGTGGGGCCTGGCAGGGTATCTTGATTGTATCCCTGAGGTAGTGGCACCAATTAATGCTGTCTCTTTTTTCCTTCTAGGGAGCACAAGCGGTGAGCGTGGGGCTGGGCCTGACCTGCCTCTCCTCCCTCCAGCTAGTCACAATCTTTTTGCCCCTTCATCCAGCCCCATCTTGAACACATCCCCTTGTCACTCAGCCCTGTAGCACAGCCTCTCCGCTCCCAATAATGCCACCACACCCCTCTCCCCCAATAACTTAGCCCCATCTCTCAAAGTCTAACTCTTACACTGTAATAACCTTGGCCCCAATTACCCAGCTCCCGTCTACCTTTGCTGCTCTGCAGTTAACCCAACCTCAGTATCAATAACCTTGATAGTCTGCCCCTCAAAACTTAAGTTTCTGCCCCTATTAATCTAGCCCAGTGCTGTCCAATAGAAATATAATGAGAGCCACTTATGTAAAGTTAAATTATGTAGTAGCAACATTGAAAAAAAAGATATAGATGAACTTAGTTTTAATAGTCTATTTAACCCAATATATCAAAACTCAATTATGTTTCAATAATTATAATTTCAATTGAAATCATATATTTCAATACATAATCAATATAAAGATTATTAATGAGATGTTTTACACTCTTTTTGAAAACTAAGTCTTTGAGATACCATGTACATTTTATGCCTCCATCTCAGTGCCAATATTTCAAATGCTCAGCAGCCCCCTGTGCTTAGTGGCTACTTTCTCAACAGTGCAGATCTAGCCCCCATGTTCTAATAACCTGTCCCTAATTACCCAGCCCCTCTGTCCCAATAATGTGCTTCCTCTGCTCCCCAGGAGCCCAACCCCAGTCCCGAGTAACTCAGGTCCTTGCCCCAGTAATCTTGTCCCCTGCCCCCAGAACACCCCCTCCTCACCCTCTGCCAACCTGGCCCCAGCACTTCTGCTTCCAGTAATACCCTTAGCCAGCAATAACCCAGGCACTGCCTCTCGCTCACCCAGCTCCTATGCGTGCCCCAGTGACCCCAATCTGCCCCCAACCCAGCCCCTCTGTCCCCAGCAATCCCAGCCACGTGCCTCCTAACCCAACCCCTGTCCCCAATCACCTAGCCTTTCTGTCTCTAGAACCCATTACCCCGCCCACCATTAATTAGTCCCTCTGTCCTCAGCAGCCCAGCCCCTGCCCTCAGTAACCTACTCCTTGCCCCTGCTTACCCCTCACGGTGCCCACCCTCTCACCTGGCCCGCGCTTCTGCCCCCACCCCATGCTTAGGAAAGAGGAGGAGCGACAGAAGCAGGAGGAGATGCAGCGGGAGAAGGAGCAGTCGGAGAAGCTGCGGACGCTGGGCTACGATGAGAGCAAGCTGGCGCCCTGGCAGCGACAGATCATCCTGAAGAAGGGCGACATCAATAAGTACTAGACGCTGCCCTCCTGCCCGCAGCCTCGCGAGCTCGGGGGCCCCCAGCTCCCGCCCCGGCCTACCTGGCCCGGGCGGAAGGGCTGGGAGCCGAGCCGCCCTCCCCTCCCGCGCTGGAACCCCTCCGTGACCCCCACCCCGGCCCCCGCATCCCCAGCCCGTGACGCTGGAGCGCGCTCGCCGCCGCAGTCGCCCAGAAAAAGTGCCCAAGCTGTTGACGCAAACAGATGCTGCTTATTTGCATGCCTACTTACATATATTTGCATGTTCGTTGAATGTCAAGTGTGCAGAGCTCTACCCAGCCCCGTGGGTGGTGACTTGGTCTTCCCGCGGGGCGCACGCAGGCTGCAGCCCCCTCCCCCGCACCCCGGAACCCGCGTGGCTGGCGCATCCTGGGCGGAGGCGGGCCCCGCGCTCGGGGAAGGGGTTTTCCTCCCTCCCTGACCCAGATCTGCGCCCGGCCTAGCCCAGGCCACATTTCCCATCCCCGCCGAGGGTTTCCTCTCAGTCATTTGTTTACCAGAAACGATGCAAACTGCAAATTGCCCGTCGGGACGGAGTTGCCGCTCCTGGGGCCCCACCTCTGCCCCCACCTCCCTCCAGTTAAGTCTGCGCGCCGTCCCCAGCCAGGTCCCGCGCTCCTCGGACCCTTTCACTGCCCTGGTGGAGTGAGTGGAGGACGAGAGGCCCTGGACCTGTCTCCAACTGCTGCCTCCCCGGTCCCCGCGCCCCTGACGTCTCGCACCCCATTAAAGCTCTCTCAGCCGCCCGGGCCTCACATTCACTCTCACTCGCCGTCGCCGCGACTTCCTCTCTCCCTCTCCGGGTGACTGCGCCACGCGGAGCCGGAGGGGCACGCTTGGGAGCTAAGGGCCGCTCTGCTCTCCACCGTGGCTCCCAGACCCTGGGGAGGCAAGGCTCCCGGCCCTTTCGACGTCCCAGGAAACCAAACCCGGGCCACTTAATACCCCCAGCCCCGCGGAAACATGAAGCAGCAGCTTTTCTTCATAGATTTAATACCGAGGCCTCTGCCAAACTCAGCCCAAGAAACAGCTGGGCAATCTCTTGACCCCCTCCCGATACTCGTCGAGGCTTCTTCGCCTTAACCGGAACCCCGGGGGCGCCAGGGCTGAGGCCAGCCGGCGCTGCTACGCAGGGCTGCGCCAGGGGCTTAATAAGTGACATAAAATGTCTACACGCATAAGTAACCGTACTTAGGGCTTCTGCAAGGGCCACCAGAGCCCCGAGGTGGCGGGCGCGCCCCCGCGTTACGGGCCACGCTGTAGGCGGCTGCGCAGGTCCTCAGCGCAGCCGTCCAGGCCCATGCGCTCCAGGGCCGCGTAGACGGCGCCCAAGCCCGCAGGCTGCTGCTGGCGCCAGCGCTTGAGCATCTCGTACTGCTGGTCGCGGAAACGGCCGACCTCCACCTCCACGGCCTCGATCTCCGCCTCGCGCAGCCCCAGCGTGCGCACGAACTCCTTCCAGCGCCGGGCAGGCACCGCATCCATCACGTCGTAGAGCTGCGGTCCGGGCTGGAGCGTGCCAGCCCCCGAGGCTGCAGGCGGCGCCGGCGAAGGCGTGGGCGGCGGCGCAGAGCCTGGGGGCGGGCCAGAGGGAGCCAATGGGGAATGCGGGCTCTGGCCAGGGGGCGGGGGCGGGTACTCCGGACAGGGCCCGGCAGGGAGGTACACCAGGTCAAGGGAAAGGAAGTAAGCAAGTGGCGCCTCTAAAACCACAACTTCTCACCTCGGACTCAGAAGAATGGGGTCAAGGCCTCTGGCTACTGAGGGCCCTTACCAAGAGCTCTGCTGGGCAGCTGGTCCCAGAACCATGTCACCTCCGGACAGGGCGCCTTCTGAGTCTGAGGGGAGCCAGGGGTCCAGCTGTTGCCTACCAACTGGCTGGTACAGACCTTCTTACTGCTGCTGGGTGGCACCAGAAGGGTGTGGGTGCTGTCCGGGGGTGAGAAGTGGGTGGCCTGGAAGCCAAGAGAGGCCCCAGGTCAGCCCTGCTTGCCCAGTAAGGCCCCTTTGCTGGGCTCTCTGGCCAGGAGTGGCCATCCCTGGCTCAGTCAGCAAACATCCCCCAGTGCTGCCTCCCCAGTCAACCATGCTCTCTCACTGTGGCCCAGAAGAGCTATTTCCTCTGCCTGGATACGCTGCCCCTGCTGCCCTCCTCTTGTTCCCCTCGCCATGGTGGCACTCATCCCACCTGTTAACATCCCAACTGTTAGCTCCTGTTTACCTGTCTGCACCCCAGTAGACTGAGAGCCACTTGAGGGCTGGCACTGTGCTGCTGTCATTCACTGATTCAGCTCTCTGCACATGTGTTCATTAGGTCTACTCTGTGCCAGCCACCATGCCATGTGCTGGGGACAATGAGTTATAAGAAGGCCCAACCTTTCAGTTCCAGAAGGCTGAGGCCCGGATGCTTGCTCACCCTCTTCCTAGAATATTACTGAGATTCTTACCTGTAGGGGGGTCAGGGCCTCCATCCCAGCTTCCTCTGATGACAGAGACAAAGAGCATCTCATCAGCAACCAGGCAAGGCTCCTGGACCCGGGTGCTGGTCCAGCTCCTCTTGGGTTCCTCTGCACACACACCACCCCCAGGACTCCCTCCCTCAGTTTCCCCCTCTGCATCAGGGCTGACTGGGCTCTGGGCTACCCATCCTGACCCCAGGCCCCCAGGAATGTGTGTGTGTGTGCATGCACACACTTACCGGGAGCCATGGCCTTGCAAGGCTGGCAGCGGCGGTATGTGTAGGTCAGAGTGGCACCAAGCAGGAGTGGGACCACCAGGCCTGCCAGGAGCACCTGGACCCAGAACACTGAAAGAGCAGTGGGTGGGTGGTGAGTGGTCGCCACACCCCAACCTCCCTTTGGCCCATCCCAGCTCTCCCACTTGCATTCCCAGTACACCACCTACTCTGCCTCCAGCCACAGACAGCCGCACAGGGCTCAGGACAGCTCCCGAGGGTGCTCCTGCAAGGGAAAGGAGTGGACTGGGGGATGAGGGAGTACATACGAGGAGAGGCTACCCAGGACCGTCTGACATCTTCTCCATCCTGAAGACCCTTCCCTCCCCAGGCCTCTCCCCTGGGAGCCTCACGCTACCCAAGAATGTTCCCGAAGTACTGCTGAAATGTCACTTGTGTCCCCAGTAACAATATCAACAACCACTATTGATTGAGCTTCTTCTAGACCAGATTGAGGGTCACTAGAATGTCAACTCCATAAGGACCGGGATTTGCCTATTTTGTCCCTGTTGTATCCCCAGCACCTAGAACAGCATCTGGAAATAGTAGGTGCTCAGTAAACACTTGTTGCGTGGATGAATGACTAAAGTGCCTTACCCCTTAATGAAAGCACTGGGGAGGACCTACTAACATTCTCGTGTTCAGGTGGGGAAGCCACAGAGAGGTGAGAGGTGGCTCAGAGAGGTGAAGTAACTTGCCCAAGATCCCCCAGAGAACAAGTGGCAGATCCTGAATCTCACCCCAAGTTTTGAAACTATATCAACGTGACTCTCTCTATAAGTGACTAATCCTGTCCTTAACATACAGCTGGAAGGATTACTAAAGGAAAGTCTGGCGGAAAGTGAAGCTACACCCCCTTCTTTATCTGGCATAAGGTGAATCCAGATTTCCCTTTACCATCAGTGTTTGCCTGAAGTGGGGCCCACCTGCCATCAGGCCAAGCTCCTTCCCCCTAGACCCTCACTCTGCTCCCAGCCTCCCTTTCCCCAGCCCAGGGCAGCCAGGAAGTTACGTGGGGCAGGACATGCAGCTGTTGCCATATTCATAGAAGCCAGGCAGGCAGGTCCCACAGTTGGTGTCTCTGCCAGAACCTGCAGTCCAAGAGAGAGCGTGGGTCATGATGGGAGAAAAGGAGACAGGGGGCGGGGGGTGGGAGTAGATAGCCTGGAATGGGGGTACTCACAGGGCATCCGCGTGTGGCGGTGCAGGGCCCCGCAGTCTGGGCATGGACGGCAGCGGAAGGGTGAGCCGTCAGGGCAGTGCCTGACCAAGCACTCCACGAACCAGCCTGGCTCGCAACCACAGAGGGTGTCCGCCACTGCCGAGCAGTTCTTCAGGGCCACCTGGGAGGCTGGTGGGGGGTTCAGGAAGGTGGGGAGAACAGAGGCCGTCAGGGCCAGAGACCCCCACACAGAGGCGGGACAGGTCCCCTGGAGAATAGAGATGGGAATAGACCAGAGACAGAGCCAAAAGGGAGAGAAGTGCAGAGATCACCACAGACCAGACGCCGAGCATGTACAGAGACAGGAAAAGTCACCAGGAAGAGAGGGCACAAAGCCATCCTGAGGCAGGGTCAGGGGGGAGGGCCTGGGGTGGGTGGGCACAGGGCCCTCACACCCAAAAGTGGGGCCCAAACCAGCCACTTCCTTCAGAAACACTCTGGCCACGGACTATCCTCAAGAGCCCCCCACTGAGCACTAGGCAGCCCCTCACCCTGCTCATCACAGGCCTGGCAGCGGGTACAGCGGGTCTCATGGTGGTTCTCTCTGGCCAGGAAGGTGCCCTGGGGGCACGGAAGGCAGGTGGCATCGCCACAAGGCTTTGTGCAGGGGGCCTTCAGGTAGTGCCCTGTGGAACCCACACTGGGATCAGACAGTCAAAGGGGGCTCCCACCTCCCCTCCTTCCCTTCCTATCTCTGGCTCCCTACTTCCCTCCCAGCCTCCCCTCACCCCATCCTGGGTCTGTCTGCCACCACTCCCCATCCTTGCCTGACCCCCACCTGCCCCAGTCTGCCCTCACTTCCCATCACGCCCCTCCCACCCATCAGCCACTCACCTGCTGGACAGCCCCTGCAACAGAACAGACCATTCCTCTTCTGTAAGTTGTGGGCACAGTCACACCTGGGGCTGGGAGTGTTGCCCTGGCCCTGGGCACCCAGCAGCATGAGGAGGAGAGCCTGAGGGACAGGTGCTGCTGGCTCCCAGCGGGGCTGTCCCGGGTGGGGGCCTCTCCCTGCCCAGGCTCCCCCACTTCAGAGGCCCCAGCATTTGCCCTCAGAGCAGCCCACTTCTCAGGTTCTTGAGCAGAAGGGGTGCCCATGGATGGGGCTGAGACTAACTTCTTTCTCCCTGTGCACAGACCAGGCTTCAGAGAAGCGAAGTACAAGGCCCCTGCCAGCCCCTCACACACATTTCCCTCTACCAGGGCACCACAGCACCAGGGCAGGAATCAGGCAGCCCCACCCCCACCCGTGCTTTTTATAAGATGGGATCCTGATCTTTCTCTCCCTCAGGCCCCCAGACCCCTCTGGCCCCCCACAAGGTGTTTCCTCTTGGCGGAAGGGCCCCGCCCCAGCTGAGCCTCTAACTAGGTTGGAAGGTGGGGCCGGCCCAGCCCTCAGCCGGGCCAGGAGCAGAGACTCGGAGACTCGCGGAGCGGGGGCCCCTTCCTTGGCCACGCGCTTGAGGGAACCCAGGCCCAGGCAAGGCTCAGGCCCTCCCCCGCCCACCGCGTCCCCACTCACCACAGCCACCGCCGCTGCACAGCCCCCCGGCCACAGTTCCATGGCCCTCAACGGCCGCGCGGGGCCCTCCGACCGGCGTGCGCCAGCAGGGGGCTTGCCCGCTGCGCCGCTCCACCTGCCAGCTCCACCCGCCCCGGTTGTACGCCCAGCCCGGTGCCTGCAGGGCCCGCCCCGCGCCGCCCAGGAGAGCCCGCCTCAGGGGTGGGGGCCAGGGCGGGGCCCCGCGGCTCCCTGGAAGCGGAACCCCGCGGCTCCCTGGAAGCGGAACCCCCCAACCCCAGCAGCCTGCATGAGGAGGCCTGCAGGCAGTAAGGTGCACAAAAGACAGGGCTGCATCCGGGTCCCCACGCCTGAGTTGTAGCCTCCACCCTGAGACCACCACTTCAAGGTGAAGTGACTTCTCCTCTCTGGGCATCAGAGCCTTCCCTCAGCCATCAGGGGTTGGGGGAAAAGTACTCAAATGGGAGACCCACCCTCCCCAGACACTGAGTGGGTGTGGGTGCAAGGGCCCCTTCCCTGGAGCGGAGTCATGAGGAGCACTCCCAGCAGAGCCTGAGACATGTGGCCCACCCTGGTGTGAGCTCACAGGGGCAGCCCAAGGCAGGGCCCTCTGAGGCACCTCGTGAGATGGAGGGGGTGGTGCCTTGTGGGGAGCTCTAAATGCAGAACTCGTGGCTGTGGCAGAGGATGGGGTTGATGTTGGGGTGTTGGTTGGGTAATCTCTGCCCCGTTGATTCACTGATGCTTCCTACAGTCTCTTCCAGTGGTGTCCTACTGCAGATGGAGGGGGACAGGAGCACAGAGAGGCATGCACCCCAGAGCTCAAGGGCACCTGAGTCCGGAAAGGGGGGGGGTCCAAAAGCAAAGGACTCTTTCCAGTGGAGTATACACAAGTCTTTATAAAAGAATCAAAAGCTCAATAAATATGCAACTTTACACGGAGCCCAACCCAAGCCTGGGGTGGCCAGCGGGGCTGGGAGGAAGGGGGTGAGGACAGGGGCATCTCCCATTTGGGGCCAGATGAGGGTGGAGGTGGGAAGGACTGCCCTGGAGCCCAGCCCTGAGGATTGGAGCTGGTGACTTCAGGGAGCAGTGTGTAAGGGCCCTCCCAGGGGTAGGGAGCAGGGGCAGGTTAGTGAAGATGGTGGCCTTCGGGGGGGTGGTCCTGAGGGGGTACTGCAGCCTGGGCCTGGGGTTCTGCTGAGCCCTCCTCCACTTCCATCCAGTCTGGCAAAGTGCAAATTGGGCCCCAGGGCAGTGGCAGGGGTCCTGGCCGGCACTCGGGCTTGGGCACAAGGCAGCAGCTGGAGTGGGGGCTGGCATGCCCCCAGAGGCATGCTGTCAGCTGTCCCTTGGTCCGTGGCACCCTTGAGGGCCTCCCTCTGCTCAGACCTCGCTGCGGGGGAGGGGAGAGACAGTCCTTCCTTGGCTAATGCCACTCAGAGGGACTCTGGCCACCTCTCCTCCCTACTGGAATTCTCAAGCCCCTTCACCACTGCCCGCCGTAGATATCCTTACTCAGGCTCTGGGGCAGTCTCAGGCTCCCTCTCCCATCCCCAGCTCCAAATGCCATCTGCTTGCAGCCATGACAGTGCCCCATCCACTCCTGGGGCTCAGTGGCTCAATGCCAGCGCGCTGGGCCACCTGCCCTCTACCCCAGGTCAGGCCACTCACGAGGCAGTGAGCGTGGAGTTAAGCAGCAGGGTGGTCCTGATTCGGTAGAGCTGGGCCAGCGTCAGCTTCCTGTGCTGGGAAGAGATCCCTGGGGGTGGCTCGGGCTGGACCCTGGGCGAGGCCCCCGAGGGCAGCTCTCTGCTCCTCCTAGCAGGTTCTTCAGGCTCCCCAGCTGGAAAGCTGGTTCTGCCCTCCAGCTCTGACAGCTTGGGGCCACTGCCAGGGCATGGTGCCCCCTGGCAATCCCAGCTGGGCCCAGCTTCCCAAGGGGAGCCCCGGGTCCTAGTGTCAGGGACTGTAGCAGCCAAGCAGAGTTCCGACAGGCTGCGGCTGGGGGCTGGGGGTGCTCCATGGGGGGTGGCCCCTGACAGCAGCTGTAGGAGGCTGGCCTCAGATTTGGACTTGAGCAGGGGGGGTGGACGGGGCAGCAGCTGGACAGGGTTTCGACGGCGGAGGCGGGGCGAGGGTGGAGGTGAAGGGGCTTGTGGTAAGTCTGGGGGCCGGGGCACTGGCTCCGTAGGGGCTGGGGCCACAAAGTCTTGCAGGGACGTGGGGGAGAGGGTGCCGTAGGCAGAGTCCATGGAGCAGGAGCGGCCGTCCACCGGGCCCAGGGGCAGCAGCTCGCTGGTGGGCGTGACAGAAGAAGCGGTGGTGCTGAGAGAGGTCTCATCTGACTGGGAGCTGAAAGGGCCACCCTCGAACTCGGGAGAGGACAGCGTCTCCCCAGGCTCCACTACGACCATGGCCAGGGTCTCTGTGGAGCCGTCCGAGGCACTGTGGGGCCGAGAGGACCAAGTCAGCACAGCCAAAGGAAACCAAGACGGCCTGGTGCAGCCCCGGGCTGGGCAATGCAGAGGTCTATAGCCTCTGCCCTCCACGAGCTCAAGGCTCAGAGATGGCAGGCATGTGGCACATGTGCCAGATCTCCCAACTCCTGTGCCCACAACACAGACATCAGTAATGGTGTCTGTCACCATGACAGCACTCCTTCCTGCTGGGTGCAACCTAAGAATCCTCAGCGCAGCTCCAGGCAGCTACTACCACTAATGGATCAGAGTTGGCACTCAAGTTGAAAACTGCCATCCCCACCTGGACTCTCGTGGGAGACAGAGCCCTCCCCCACCCACTGGACTCACAACATGAAGCCATACAGAGGAAGGGGTCATGGCTAGGCCCTGTCCAGTGTCAGTGGCTTTGGGGTCAGGAGTCCTGGACTGGAGTACTTGCCCTGCTCTGGCCTGCTGGGTGGTCCTAGGCAAGCATACCAGTGCTGGGAGTCAAGGCTGTTGCTGTTTTTGCGCAGAATGGTGGGGGAGCTGGCAGCGGAAGTGCTACTCTCCCCTGCTTCCTCCTCCTCCTCCTCCTCCTCCTCCTCCTGCTCATCCTCCTCTTCTTCCAGGCTCTGCAGGTGCTGCTGGCTGCTTGGGTGCTCCTGCACACGCAGCTGTTGCAGCTGGTTCTACAGGTGGGGTGGGGGTGCATAGGGGCAGAACGGACTGTGAGTAGCAGCCCACACCAGGCTGCCCTGCCCGCCTGCACACCACTCTGCTCTCACCTGGGCATTGTAAATGGCGTCCACCCAGCCACGGCACAAAGCCTGGCCGCTGGCCTGGAACGTGTAGGCCCCCACAGCGCTATGGAACTCGTTCAGGTAGATGAGGAGGAAGGAGCCTGGTTAGGAAGGGCTTGCATCAGTTTCAGCTGAGACCACGGCCTCTGCCCATCACAGCCCTTGCCCAGGACCAGGGGCCGGGCTCCTCACCAGGGTCCCGCAGCTCCCGGCACACGATCTTGTCCACCAGCAGTGGCGGCCTGATGACCTTGGTTCTCTCAGCCTTCTTCACTGCCTTGGTCACCAAGAGCAGGTCCGTAAAAAGGAAGCAGTACACGTCCATCTGGGGTGACAGGGGAGCAGGAAAGGCCAGGGGTCAGGGCCAGGGTCCTGGGGCCTCAGGCAGAGCCCCTCAGCCTGTCTCTACAACACCCTCTCCTGGGGGTACTCAGATTTCACCAAACACCCTCCCTGCCCAGGCCTCCGGAACCTGAGAGCAAAATTAAAGTGAAGAGCAAGATGATTTTCTCTTTTGAACTATATATTTGTGACTTATTTCAACTACAAGTTTCCTCTTCAAAAGAAGCAACGGGGGGACGGCACCATGGCGTTGCCGTTCAGTGCGCGCCCTCTGCTGCTGGCAGCCCGGATTCGGATCCCAGGCGCGCACTGATGCACCACTTGTCAAGCCATGCTGTGGCCGCGTCCCATATAAAGTGGAGGAGAAGAGGCACAGGTGTTAGCCCAAGGCCACTCTTCCTCAGCAAAAAGAGGAGGATTGGCATGGATGTTAGCTCAGGGCTGATCTTCCTCACCAAAAAAAAAAAAAAAAAAAAGAGGCAATGGGACATGATTTCAAAATTATGATTTGCAGACTCTCAGTTACCTGACACCCACATGATTAATAGCTTACGTGCAACACTCTGGAGTGTTCCTGGCCTGCTCGGGGAATGTGGCCCTTCCCTCCAACGAGGAACCCATATGGCACTCGCAAGTAAGCAAAACCACATGCCACGGGCTGTGACCCTGCTGCTGTGTTTGTAAAGAGTAAACTGCAGGCAGATAATCATTCCTCATATGACCACAGAGTTGCTGGTTCTCGAATGGCCACCCAACCGACTGAGCAGCTGAGAACTGCTGACTAGGGCCCAGGAGGTCCCCAGGAAGGGGGGATCCAAACCCACAGGGCAAGAGGGAGTGCGGGGGCCCTGGGAATGGGGTGGCCACTAGTCACCTTGCTGTCCTTCCCCTCCTTCATCCTCAGGCTCCCCTCCAGCAGCAGCTGTCGCGTCTCCTCTGGGGAGGCGCCAGGGATGGGCGCTGTCAGGTCCAGATGCAGAAATTCTCTCAGGAGCTGCGGGTGGAGAGGTCAGGGTCTGGCTCCCCATCTCAGCTAGGAGATCTCAAGCGAGGTTCCCAGCACAGCCCCTGTCTGCCACTGTGCCCCTTCCTCCCTCCCAGCAGAGCCAGGGACACCCCCCCAGACACACACACACACACAGGGTGCCCACCTTGTCCACCTCGTCGCTGCTACCCTCCACCACCTCGTAGGCATCGATGCGGCTCACGACGGCTGCCAACCGCTGCCGCTCCTGTCGCTGCCGCATGCAGGCGTTCACATGGTGGATGAAGCGCTCCACCGAGTCGATCTGGGGAAGGGCCAAGGGCCGCGGGGATTTAGGCCCAGGGTCGGGGAGGGACCCGGCCCACCACGCCAGCAGCGTCCCGGTTACCATGGTGACGACGGCCTCCTTGGTGCGAGGCTCGTCGGTCTTCCTCAGCACCGACTTGAGCAGCAGCGGGTACTTGGTGAGCCGCTGGTGGGGCTTGGCCAGCATGTCGCTCAGCTTCAGCCGCTGGCACTGCTGGTGCTTCTCGGCCCACTACGGCGGGCAGGCGGGGCGGGGCTCAGCGCAGGCCCCGCCCACCTCCAGCCCCCTAGCACCTGCAGCCCAGGTGGGCCCACCGTCCTGCGCTCCCGCCCACTAGCCTGCCCGGCCCGCCCTCACCGTGACGTAGGCCCGGAAGAGGTCGTTGTCGCGCAGCAGGCCGCGCATGTACTCCATGCAGCCCTCCTCCTCCATGCAGTACCGGATGTAGGGCTTGAAGAGGGAGCCGAACTGGCCCGGGACAGAACAAGCACAGCACCTGTGACGGCGCGCTCCCCAAACCCTTCCTTACTGCACTCTCGCGACCACCCCAGGGGCTGGCAAGCTCATGACCCCTGTTTTCCACAGGAGGAAAGTGAGCCTCAGAGAAAGGGACCACCCTTGGCCAGGCAGCAAGGGTAGGTGGCCAGGTGGGGTTCAAACCCGGGCAACCAACTCGGAATTCCTTGCCTCTGCCCACTAGAGGTCGTGCGAGGGCCACTGGTCAGGGGGAGGTTGGGGTGAGGGGCAGATGGGATCGGCGCCCCAGTCCTGCCTCAGTGTTCCTGCCTGTGCCCAGCCCAGCCAGTACCATCTTGAAGCCTTTCAGGAAGTCCCCGGGCTGCAGCAGTGCCCGCGTGCGCCGCGCCTTCTCCAGAACCGGCGCCATCACGCTGGCCCACAGCCCGCGGTGCAGCCGCGCGATCTCGGGGATGTTGCTGAACAGGCGCTCCGCCTCCACCTGCAGGGGCGGGAGGTGCACTCGGCCCCGCCCCTCGGCCGGACCCCGCCCCTCACCTATTCCACCGCTGGCCCCGTCAGTCCCCGCCCTTTGCTTAGCCCCTCCCCTATCCCGCCCCCTGAGGCCAGGCCCCGCCCCGAAGCCAGCCCCGCCCCGCCCTGGTACCGCCCCCGGGCCCGCCCTACGCCTACTCCACCCGTGAGCCCCGCCCTCTGCCAACCCTGCCCCCGCGGCTAGGCCCCGCCTCCTGCTAGTGCCGCTCCCCCAGACCCCCAGGCCCCGCCGCACCTCACACAGCAGCCCCGACTCTTGCAGGTTCAGGAGGCAGCACAGGAACAGCTGTGGGGGCAGCGACCGTTGCAGCTGAGGGGGACCCAGTCCCGACACCTCACCTAGCCTCTCAGACTCTCCTCTACCCCTTCCCCCTCCCAGGAGGCCCTGAGCCAGCCTGGGACACACAGGGTTTCCCGTCTGAGAAAAGGCTCAGCCCCCATGGGCCACCTGGGGGTCGCCCTGCCCAGGCCCCACCTGGAGGGAAACTGGGGGACAAGCCTGGCAGCCACGCCTGGAACTCTCTCCTCCACCTCTGCCCTGGCTCAGCCTCGGAGTTTCAGCTCAGAGGGTGCCTTCTTCAACCTCCAAGCCCAGGATCTGTGCTGTCCAAGTCCCTACACCCTACCCCCCCCCCCCCCCCGCCGCCAGTGCCTACCCACTGTCTCCACCTCTAGGGTGTGGGCTGCTGGGCACCTGGCACACAGCAGGTGTTCAGAGTAGCCGTTGGATGAATGAGTGAGAGGATGAGGCCTGTGTTAATTCAGTCAACTGGCAAACATGCCCCAAGCCCCCTCCCAGGTGAAGCCCCCTCCCAGGTGAAGCCCCCTCCCAGGTGCTGGCCTATGGGATTCACCTCCTCCCCAGGGGGTGGCCCTTCCCTAACTCTCCTTCTCTCTGTTGCCTGGCACCTGCTCCTTCTGCAAAGGCCCAGACTCTACTCAGGGGCACCCAAAAGAAGGCCCTGGGGACAGGCAGCGGGTGGCTCTGGGCCGGGGGTGGCCACACACTCACGTTGGTGATCACCCACAGCTTCTTGATGTAGGATGCCTCCGTGTGCAGGAGCTCCCACACCGCCTCCTGCTGGTGGCACTGCCGCCGGCTCAGCTTCTGCAGGAAGGGCAGGGGGTCGTCCAGGCGCCCAGCAGTGTGCCAGGATAGCCCGGGTGGGGAAGAAGGGTGAGCAACCCTGCATGCAACCTCCTTTGTCCTGTTGGGGACACAGAGGTTCCCCAAGTTCTGGGCCCTCTTCTGCCATGAAAACAGCCAAGCAGCAATTTCACCTTGCCTCTATTTTCCCAAAGTGAGTTAATGATGACAGCAGCCTGGCAGGGCTGTCCCGTGGAACATCCTGTCACTGAGTCCTCGGAAGGGCCCCATGAAGTGGAAGATAATGTCCTCCTTTCCCAGGTGAGGAGGGAGGGGAAGGCTGTGGGGGGCACCCACCTCATGCCCGTCGATGAGCTCCCTCCAGCTGTCCTCCAGCCGCAGGCAGGCGGCGTCCTCCTCCTCCTCCTCCTCTCCCTCCTCCTCCCAGGAGTCACGATCGAATCGCAGCCTCCGGGGCAGCCTGGGCAGCCCAAAGAGGCCATAGGCATGCAGCTTGCTCTCCAGCTGCTCCATTTTGTCCACCTCCTGGAAGGAGACCCGTGATCAGGGCCCGGAGTCAGGGCCAGCCGGCTGCCCTGCCCCAGGGCCCACAGGACCACATACCCGGCCACAGGCACTGGTGCTGGGGCCAGAGCTGAAGAAGCCGCTGAAGCGACTGGCTGCCCGGTTCTTCCAGCTGTCACCACCGCCACTGCTGCTGCTGGGCAGAGAGCTGCTGGCAGGTGTGGGGGGCTCCTGCCCTGGGATGCTCGCCTCCCCCAGGAACTCCGACATGTTCTTGCGTCGGCGGCCAGGCGCCTGGCCAGGGAGGGGTGGTCAAGGCCAGGCCTACCCGGGCCCCCACAGCCCTACCCCAAGGTGGGTTTCCTGGACCTCAGGCAGCCTGGGATGTGGGAGCGCTTCCACACCCCCACTATGGGACGCCACCTCTCCTGAGACCCACACATGTTCTTGGGGCTGGAAGGTCCAGACACAGTTGCACCTGGACCACCCTCAGCCACAGGCATGAAGCAGGCAGGGAGAAGCAGAGTCACACACACACTCAGATGCACTTACAAGCACAGCTCCAAACGGATCAATGACACACACTCATGCACACAGCCAGTGACATGAGAAGTCACTCCCCACACAACGTCTGCGTGGACACACTCACAGACTGACTCCTTAGGCACTAGAAGATTCTCAGCCACAAGACCCATCACCTTAGGGTATGGTTAGATCCAGAGAGGGCCCCCGATCCACAGAGCAAGCCCCATTTTCCAGAAGGGGAGATTAAAGACCCAAGAGAGAGCAGTGAGGGGCCCAGGTGACTCCCCTCTGAGGCCCTTCCCCACCCCCAGGCCTGACACAGCCCCTCCTCACCAGGATGTCCAGGCTCTCCCGGCGGCTCTGGGGGTCCACACGCTCCAGGGCAGGGGCCCCAGCCCCGGCCGGCCGCAGGATTGGCAGACTCAGGGACTTGGAGTCCTTCACTCCCTGTTCCACCTTCCCTTCATCCCCCGGCTTTGCTGAGGTGGTGTTAGGGGACAAGTAGAGGTCCTCAACACCCAGGTCCAGTGGAGGAGGGGGCCCCAGTCCTCTCTCCCCAGAGGATCCAAACCAAGGCCTAGCTGCCCTCCCCCGAAGCCCCGCCCTGCCAGCACCCGCCACCACAGCCCAGCAGAGACACCTGTATGGTAATGAGCCTGCCCAAGGCCATGGCCAATGGGAACCTGAGCCTGGGAAGAAGTGCCCATCTCCGGGAGGCCCAGCCAGGCCCCAGCCACTCCACCTGCATGGCAGGCTGCTCACCTTTGACCCGCAGGTAGTGTCCCCCGAACCTGTAGGCCTCGAAGGTGAGGGACAGGGGGGTGTTGGACTGGTCCAGGTAGATATCCACTTTGCCCAATGCGATGCCCTTCCTTTCAAATACCGGCAGCAGCACCTCCCTGCTCCAGGACCGGAGATGTGTATGTTAGGGGGCAGTCACATGAACCCCGACTCTATCCACAGTCCCAGCTCCACCTCGCCTTCCCAATGGAAAAGGGAGACACCCACGGGATCACACACAGGTACACAGATACACAGGTGCATGCACATACACACACCTGCCCACAGAGGTTCAAACACTCCTGCACGCACCTACACACAGGCCAACATGCCCATGCCCTCACGTACTCATGTCTGCACACCAGGGACTGGGCCATGCACACATGGGTTGAAATACACACACAGGTGCACAGGCCCTCGTCACACGTTCCCTCACACTGGTGTGCACGCCACATGGGTGGGTCCACTCACAGGTGGGGGACATGCTCACTCACAGGCCACCACATGGACATACACAGTCATACCTGCAGGAGGCTGCACCTGCCCCTAGCCCCACTTCCACCCTTGGCCCCACCAAGCCCTACCCCAGCGACTTCTTCTTCATGGCTGGTACAATCTCTGTCTCGATGTCCACATTCAGGTCAAATTTCAGAGTGAAGCACTCCTTGCTCGGGTCCTGAGAGGACATGGGTCTCTTAGCTTCTGCATCCCTCGTCCCCACCCTCCCCACCCCAGGGTCCAGGATGAGAACCCCAGCAGGGGAGTGAATGCAGGGATTACCCCCAGACCGCCTCTGTCCCAGGGAGGCCCCCAGCATCCCTCATGCCTGAGGGAAGCGCTCCTGGAGCACCCCCCACCTGGGATAAGGTGGGCCGTGCTGGGTTGCAGGCAGGGTGGCAAGGGAGGGACACATTCACTCCAGGCCCCATCCCTGGTCCTGGGGTTCAGAGCAGAAGGGCCCAGCCTTGGGGCTGGGAAGGAAAGGGGCAGGGGCTGTCAGGAGCTCCTCTGCAGCCTGGGGTCTCCTTACATCTGTGTGTCTCCTCCTGGCTTTCTTCTTGGAGAGTTTCAGGCCTGTGCTCTTCCGGTCCCTGCAGGGAAGCCAGTGAGGGCAGAGGTTGGAGGCACAGGGAGGCCCTCATCAGGGTGGGAGGTCAGTGGGCCTCAGCTGCTGCCCACCCCTGGCTCCCCAGATGACCAGGAAACTCAGGTGCACTCAGGCAGGCCAGGGCCCGAAAGGGGCTGTGCGCCCTCTGGTGGCCTATACAGGAGTCACACCCATTGGTACCTAGTCAGGCGGAGTCTGATCCCAGACGCCCTGGAGGCTGGCCCAAGCTGGATGGCCTCCTCCAGGAATCAGGGCATCCACAGGGGCAGGGAGGGGTCTCCAGTCAGTCCTTCTGAAGCCTCCGCTCCCTGGATCTCTGATCTGAGACCCAGCCTTGGGACCCCTCAGGTGTCTGCTCTGCCCATCTACCCCTCACCTACCCTTTGCCATCCATAGAGCTTTCTTCCTCCTCCTCCAAGTCCACTGCAGGGCTGGTGCGTGGGGGGCATGACCGGGTGGACACGTTCCGGGCCAGGACAGAGCCTTTGGGGCAAAGTGGGAGGGGGTTGTGCCTGCTCCCTCCCTGTCCCCCTCCTTAGCCTTCCAACAGAGCCATCTCCAGACAGAACACAGTGTGCTACCGATCCTGGGACACCCCCCTCCCCCAAACTAGCTGGGGCCCTTGGGTTCTGTGAGGACAGGGGCTCAGTCATTGCTTATCATCCAGCTACCCCCAGATCAAAAAGACACAAGAGCCTGGGGATGACACCTCAGGTGATACCCCACCCCCAATACACATCCACCTGTGGTCTCAGTTTACCTATCTATAAAATAGGATAAGGAAGCCCTGCCTCTGGGATTGTTGCAGGAAGGGACCAACGTCCATGGATCTTTCTCTCAGGCCTCCCCTCCCCCGCCACTGTGACCACACCCAAAGTCCCAGAGGGCCCTGGCAGAGGAGGGAGTCCCTTTGTCCCTCTGAGCAGATGAGAAAGGAGACAAAGGGTTGGCATTTCTGGCCAGGCCTGGGTGCCTGTAAGCCACCCCAGCACAGCCAGTTGGCAGTGGGCCTGGGCCAGGTCCCTATTCAGCAGGAGGGGTTCCTTGTTTCCCCTTACAAGTTCCTTCTGATCTGCCCTCCCCCACCCCATCCCCATCCCCACTGCCTTGCTGGCCAATGGCAGCCTGGCTGGAGGATTTGCCCAGCAGTCCCCTGTCCTGAGGACAAGAAGAAAGGGGGCTTTCTCCATGCTGGCCCCGGGCCAGGGGCACGGGCAGCTGTGGGAGGTGCAGACCCAGCAAGAAGGACCTGGAACCTGGCAGAGACAGGCCTGCTCTCAAGATGAGGTACAGCCCCCATTTTTTCTCTTGTTAAAAAACTTGTGGACCACGACATATTTGGGTTTCACCCTTCACAGTCGACTCCTGTCCTTCTGATGGCCCTGATACAGCTCCGACAGTTACCAAGACACTGTGCCCCCAGACAGGGAGTCTGGAGCTGCCCCGGGAGCTCAGCGGCCGAGCTGGGCTGCCTCACCATGCTCACCTTGGGGGGGCAGGTCGAAGCGGACGTGCCCATCATAATGCATGGCGCTGTGGAACTTGCTGTCACAGGCCTCACAGAGGTTGAGGGGTCCCCGGCGGTGCAGCTGCTGGCAGTCGGCGTGGTGGCATACCTGCCCGGGGAAGGAGGGAGAGGTGGGTTGGGCTGGGCCCCATGGGGCCACAGGCAAGCACACCTGCGGCCCAAACCATGCAGTGCACAGGTGTGGCTCCCGGCCCCTACATATGCTGCTCTTCATTTCCAACCCGCCATCCCCACAGGGCACCTTAGGCTTATTAATTCACCAGGTGAATGTTTCCCAAGCACCTACTATGTGTCCACTCTGAGGGATGCAGAGAAAGGCTAGGCCCTGCCCACAAGGAACACAGTGCTGAGGGAGAGACTCTGACTTGGGTGTCTTCCTGGGGTACAGGCAGGAAGGGCACCAAAAAATGCTCAGGGCTGCCGTCCCATTTGGCCAGCTCAGTGTCTGAACTGGAATGCCCGACCCTCCTCCCCACCCAGGCCCTCTGCCCTCAGTTCTGTGACCTGTCCAGCCCCTGAAGAGCTGACCCCACCCAGATTCCTAAGTCAGGCATCAAGAGGGTTATGGGAGGAGGCAGGGAAAGGTGCTGGCACCTGGGTGCCCATGGGCCGTTGCTTGGTGACATGATCCCAAATTTACCATATCTCACCCTGGTCTACTCTCTCCTCCACCACCATGGATAACTTTCAGATCTTCTCCTCTGTCCCCCCACCTCCCACCTCCCGAAGCTCACTCCTAATTCACTCCCCGCTGACTCTGCTTCCTACTTTTCTAGGGCAACAGAAGCCATCAGAAGGTGCTCCCACCACCATGTCCCCCTACCTGCCCCGGGCTGTGGGGGCTTCACCTCGCTCCAATCCAAGGCCAGCCTTCCTCTGAGATCCAGCCTCCAGCCAAGGTGCGGGGACATGGCTCAGCATTTGCTCCCCTCTGACATCATCAGGTTTGCCCCCAAACTGGATAGTACCCATCAGCACACCAACATGTTATTTCTCCATCCCCAGCCACTGCTCCATTTCTCCCCGCCCTTTACAGCTCACCTCCGTGAACAGGTATCCGTACTCGCTGCTTCCCAATCTCTCCTCCTGCTACTCTTTATGTTATTTTTCCCAACACTTTGTTTGAAAATATTTCAAACCTACAGAAAGTTATGAGTACAATGACATCCGTACACCCTTCTAGTGTCCCCAGTTGTTAACATTTTGCCACACTGGCTTTCTCTCTCACCTCCTCCTCATTACCCCGCCCCTGGTGCAGAAATCATGACATTATCTAAGAGCACGGAACTTCTCCTACAAAACCCCAATACAGCTGCCACCCTCGGGAAACTGAACGTTGCCGTACAGTCCATCTATAGCCCACATTCACGTCTTCCCAACTGTCTAAATAACGTCCTTCACAGATTTTTTTTCTCAGACAGGATCCAATCAAAGTTGTATCTGTGTATCCCTCTTAATGAATTCCCCATGCTTTTTTTTGGTCCTTCATGACATTGACACTTTTGAGGCATCTGAGCCAGTGGTCTGGCAGGAACCCCTCAAGGGGGATTTGTGTAGAGGTCCTTGGGTAGTTTCAGGCTGAGCATCTGGGCAGGGCAAGGAGGGAGCGGACTGTGCATCCTCCTCAGTGCGCACGTGATGCCGGATCATTTGGGGATTTTGATGTACTTTGTAAAGCCCCTTCTTCTCCTTGTAATGGACAAGTAAGCTGTGGGCTGATGCTGTGAGATATCCTGCTCCCCAGCAATCTCCCATTCCAGGGCTGTGCATTCATTCATGACTTTTGCCCAAATCAATTATTACTACAATGGTTGCAACTGGAGAGTTTCTAATACTTCCATTCTCTCCCAGACCCTCTCCCATCAAGTTTTTACCCCCTCTCCATCACACCAAACTCACCCTTCTCGGGTCCCCAATGACCTCCATGTCTCTAAGCCCACTTGTCCGTTCTCACAGGGCCCAGCGTTTGACACACATGGTCTCTTTGAAACTGTTTCTTCCTCCATTCCCAGGACCCGCGTTCTGCTCATTCTCCTATCTCCTCTCAGTCCCCTCGCCTGCTTCCTGTTCATCTCCTCGTCTGTGGACCCTTCTCATTTTTATCGACATCCACCCTCTACTGACTCAGCCTCAAGACTTGAAACACTGTGTACACGCTGAGGGCTCCCACGGTTAAATCTCCAGTCGGGACCTCACCCAGGACTCCAGACCAACCTTCTCGATTCTCTGCTTGGATGCTAACTAGCATCTCAAACGTAAAACATCCGACATAAGCTCCTGAACTTCTCCAGGGAGCTCCCTCCATCTCAATTAATGGCAATGCCTTCCAGACGCGTGGTGTGACCAGTTGAATTGTGTCCTTCAAAAAGACAAGTTAAGTCCTAACCCCCAGGACCTGAGAATGTGACCTTATTTGGAAACAGGGTCACTGCAGATGTCATTAGCTAAGATGAGGTCACACTGGGGTCTGTAATCATAGTGCATGGAGTAATCCTATGACGAGTGTCCTTATCAGAAGAGGAGAGGAGACATAGAGACAGGGACACACAGGGAGAAGGCCATGTGACAACAGAGGCATCAACTGGAATGACGCATCTACAAGCCAAGGAATGCCAGGAAGCACTGGGGCCCCCAGGAGCTGGGAGAGGCAGGAGGGATCCTCTCCTGGGGCCTTCAGAGGGAGCATAGCCCTGCCGACACCTGGATTTCAGGCTTCTGGCCTCCAGAACTGGGAGAGAACAAAATTCTGTTGTTCCAAAGCCACTCAGTTGGTGTTAATCTGTGACGGCAGCCCCAGGAAACCAATACATTAGGCCAGAACCTTGGGGTCACCTTTGCTCTTTCTGTGACACCCCCATCCAGTCAGTCTGAAAATTCTGTGGGCTCCACCTTCGATACCTGATGCTTCAACCTGTCCACGCTCTCAGCCCACCTCTGCCCCTGCCCCAGCCTCCGTCACCTCTCAGGGGAATACAACAATGGCCTCATAACTGGTCTCCCTGCTTCTACCCTCATGCCCCAGTCTGTTCTCCACGAGAAGCCAGAGTGGACCCCGTTCAAAGAGTCACACAGACCCACGCCAAACCCCACAAGGGCTGCCCATCTCACTTGCAGTGTGGTCGGCTCGTGAGCCTCCTGTCCTGCTCTTCTGGCCTGCTCACTCCCCCCAGCCTCCTGGCTTCTCTGACACGCTTCTTCAGGGCGCTCCCACCTCTGAGTCTTGGCATCTGCTGATCTCTCGGCCTGAAAAGTTTTTCCCCAGATACTGAAACGACCAGTTTCCTCTCCTCCCTTCCTGACAATCTTCACTCAAGTCACCCTCTCGCCCTTGTGAGGTTTCAACTCCTCCACACTCCTGATCCCCACTCTGCTCCCTTTCTCTCCTTAGCACTGGCCACCACCCAACAGTCTGTGCACTTTACCCTGATGCCACCACACCTTGTCAGCTCTGCAGGGACAGCGATTTCAGTCTGTCTGATTCACTGCCCTATCCCCAGTCCTAGCCACTCAATAAACACTTGTTCAGCTTATGAATTAGGGTGATGGAGGGTCCCTGAAGGTTTTTGGCTGGGGAGAGCCCAATCAGAGATTTTCAGGATGACAGACAGGATGAGGATGGCCTGGACAGCAGAGAAAGTAGCTGAAGGGAGGAGAAAGGACGAGGCTGAAAAAGACTGATCTCCATTCATAATGTGGTCGCCATATGCCTGGGGCTGCACTGAGGGCTCAGCTTATCCCAGGAGGTAGGGGCTATGACTGTCCCTATTTTACAGAAAAGGAAGTGAGGCTCAGAAAGGTTAAGTAACTTGTCTAAGGTCACATAGCCAGTGGAGCCAGGACTTAAGCCCAGTGTGCGTAGCTCCAGGTCCCAGATTTTCACCACATTCACACCATCTCTTGGATAGCTGAGAAGGGAGACGGGGCAGGGTCAGCCTCAGGTCAGCCTGGGGGGCTATGGAGACAAGAGGAAATCAATCATAGTTTGATACTCCCTGTTTGGGCTCCTGTGTCCCCCCCAAGTCCTCCATCAGACAGAAAAGGGAACACGGGCACAGAAATGACAGCATGGTGGGGGGAAGGGGAAGACTGAGGAGGCCACTTCCTCCAGGGGGGCTGCCTTCTAGGGGCTGGGCCCCGAGCAGGTGGCCGTGGACATTATGGCCCAGATTCCTGATGGCAGCCTGAGCACCAGGCACCTTTCTCGAGGGGTCTTCAACTGTGTTCTCGGGGCGTGAGGCAGGGGTGAGAGGGTGAGGGGTGCCCTTCAACTAGAGCAGGTGTTTCTGTTCTTACTGAATCTACGGCTAAACCAAGTGTGAAAGCCCCTATCCTCAGCCACGCTCTGCCCGCCCCCACCCCGGCGTCCCCAGGGCACTGGTGACAGAAGGGCCTGGCATGGTGGACTCTGGGACCCCCAGCTGCAAGCATCCCCTCTTGACAATGAATCTGGAGAAGGCACCTGCCCTACTTCAGCCCCTTCTTCCCAAGAGCCCCACGGTCTGCCAGCTCGGCAGCCCTCTCGTCCTCTGCGTCTAGCCTGGCAGCCAGCCTGGCAGAGGTGCCCCCTCCCACCCTTTCCAGGCCTCTCAAGATTTCCCTGACAGCTCCATTTGCTGGTGTCAGGCTTGGCACTGGGCAGTGGGGCTGCACACCTACCAGCAACCCAGGCCCTGGCTTCACCATGGGTGGGGGTGACATGCAAGAGCCAGGCTAGGTTGCAGGGGTCCTGCGAAGGGTCTCTGGGACCCTTCCAGTCCAAGTCCTCGATTCTGTGCCACGTCTTGTTTTCAAACCAATCCAACAGACAGAAGGCAGATTTTACACAGATTCACTCCGTGGCAGATTCAACAAATACTTACGGAGCACCACTATGTGCCCCGCCCTGTGGAGGCACGGGGCTCCCTCGAGGGACTTGGGAGGATTCATTTCCCAGCACTGTGGTGGGCTTTGGTGAACACCACCACTGTGCCGCCTCCTCCTATTACTCCGACTACTACTATTATTACTATTACCACTATTATTATTACTCCTAATACTACTAACAATAATAATGACAGAGCCGATGCCCAGCCCACTGCTGACCTCATC